AGCTCAGAGCACTCAGTTAAGATCTTTACCTCTACCTGGAGTTTTTGTTTTGTTTTGTTTTGTTTGAGTTGGAGTCTCACTCTGTCACCCAGACTGGAGTGCAGTGGCCGCTCCCGGCCACCGCAGCCTCGACCTGCTGGGCTCCGGCGACCCTTCTGCCTCAGCCTTCCGAGTAGCTGGAACTACAGGCACACGCTACCACGCCTGGCTAATTTTTTTGATTTATTGTAGAGATGAGGCCTCGCCAAATTGCCCAGGCGGGTCTCGAACCCTCAGGCTCAGGTAATTCACTCACCTCGGCCTCCCAAAGCGCGGGATTACAGGCTGAGCCACCGAGCCCGGCCTGGACTTTTCAAATACACACATTCCTCCTCCAGACACAGTACAAAATGTAAGGAGAAGCTCGCTTTCAGCGTCATGCAAGTGTGTCTCACCTGCCTTACCCTCTCAAACTCTGAGTCGGTTGCCGGAGGGGAAGAGAGGCAGTTTTTGGTTTGGTTTTGTTTTGTTTTAGTTGGAGTCTCACTCCATTGCCCAGGCTGGAGTTCAGTGACATGCTCACGGCCACCCCAGCGTCAACCTGCTGGCCTCCGGCAATCCTTCCACCTCAGCCTTCCAAGTAGTCGGAACTACAGTTGCACGCTACCACGCCTGGCTTATTTTTTATTTATTGTAGAGACGAGGTCTCGCCAAGTTGCCCGGCTGGTCTCGAACCCGTGGGCTCAGGCAATCCCCTGGCCTCGGCCTCCCAAAGTGCTGGGATGACAGGCTGAGCCACCGAGCCCAGCCATATTTCTTTTTAATTTTTTTTTGCTTTTTCTTGTTTTTGGAGTCAGGGTCTCACTGGTCACCTAGGTTAGAGTGCAGTGGCACTCACGTTCCCCTGTCCTTCTCTCTCTCTCTGAGAATTTACTGAGTACCTATTGTCTATAGGCATTATGCTAGAGTTGATGGTTAGACTGTAAGTTTTACTACCTGTCCTCGAAAAGCACTCTTTCTGATGGAAAAAAAATAGCTGCATAAAAGACAGTTTTTTGTATCTGGCTTATTTCACTTAACATAATGTTCCCCATCCATGTTGCTGCAAACAACAAGATTGCATTCTTTTTCTGACTGAATACTATTCCAGTGTGTACACACATCAGATTGTCTTTATTCATTCATTCACTGATGAACACTTAGGTTGATTGCATATCTTGGCTGCTGTGAATAGTGCCGCAATAAACATGGGAGTGTAGACATCTCTTCCTTATAAATATATACACCAACTATGTACCCATAATAATTAAAAATTAAACATTTTTTAAAAAGATACTTTTAAATATGAGATGTTGCCAGGCTCGGTGGCTCAGCCTGTAATCCCGCGCCTTTGGGAGGCTGAGGTGAGTGGATTGCCTGAGCCCGCGGGTTCGAGACCCGCCTGGGCA